TACTAAATAGATGCACTAAATGGATATACTAAAATAGGATGGAAATACTGAATTCTAGAATGGATCGGTCCACCCGAAGGATCTTATTTGGGTACATGCAGCTCGTGGTCTCAAGCAATATGTCAGGATTTTCCTTTTTCCTGGGTCAGTATACTGAAACTATTAGGCAGTCCAGAATTTAGCAATGGCAGCTTCAATCAGAGGCCTCTAAGACAGGTAAATTATAATAGTTTTATTGATAATAGTGTCCATTTAACAGCTATGAAGCTGGCCATACAACAGTAACATTTAATTCGAAAAAAAAAAAATTTCAGAACGTTTGTTTCATTTTCTAATAGTTAATGGGGTCAAATTGGCGATCAGTTTGACCCAAAAAATGAAAGAAGCAGGATGGACATTTTTTTGTGAACAAAATTCTAACAGTGAATGTGGTTTCTGTTCGAGAAACTTTAGTCCTTCTAAAATCGCATTTTAAAAACAAACAAACTTTTGAATTAAATTTTGCCAAGTCTCTGATGGCATTATCAAATGTTCTGATGAAATTGTACATATGAAAGTTCTTCCGAATGTTCAGTCTACCAGTGTATGGGCAACTTAAGTAGCAATAAGTGAAGCTGGCCATACAGTGTTATATTATTTCACTCAAACTGCGGCATGAATAAAAGAAAAATAACAGATTCTTCCATCCACACTCAATAGCGTGGATGGACAAAGAATACCTGCACAGTGACAGCTGCTAATTGGTGGCCATCACCGTTCATATAACTTACTTTAGGTGCAGGCAGGGAGGGGACTCAATAACTTACTTTAGGCGCAGGCAGAGAAGGGATTCAATAACTTACTTTAGGTGCAGGCAGGGAGGGGACTCAATAACTTACTTTAGGCGCAGGCAGGGAGGGGACTCAATAACTTACTTTAGGCGCAGTCAAAGACGTGATTGAATAACTTACTTTAGGGGCAGGCAGGGTGCCGCAGTCCCGGAATTACTGCACCTGAGTGGAGAGGAATGATCAAATAGTCCCTCCTCTTTCCGGGCCCCCTTTCTGAACTGATGGGGCAGAGAGAGAGAGAGGGGGGGGATTAATTTTAGAAACTGCGGTTCCCAACAATAAAAATGAAAGTTCCGGCCTGCACAGGGCTGCCTGGATCAAAGTATTGGTGTACAAGAAGAGGGGGAAATAGTTAGTGGTAAGATCAGACCTTGAGACCTTGTTTACATGGGTGGCAGCCTCCACTGCTCTCTGAAAACTGGTTCACGGTAGATCGTTTTCAGTGGTTGGTGGGCTAACGCGATAGAGTAACGGATTTTCTACTGCAATACCGTGCCACGAAGACATACCCACGAGGTTGCGGCACTTTTATTTCAATTATCTGGTTTGACAAGCAACAGCGCCCGTCAAATGCAACAAGCTGCATATTTTTTGCCACGGCGCTGTAAGGGGTTCCTGGGACAACGAGCGGCGAGAGTGCGTTCCACCGTGGAACGCACAAGGAAGAGAAGTACCGCAGTCACGCCCCCTCACTAGGACGCCATCCGATGCGTTCCACGGTGGAACGTGGAAGCGGAACTGGCGTTATGCCGCTTTTCCCGCGCCTGCAGGCTATTTAAACAAACCTATAATGCTAGCAGGGGGTTCCACTATTGGGGATCAAACGCCCTGCTACTTCCCTAAGAGAACCTGCGATCTGGAGCATATTGCCCTAATATTTACCTCAGGACATCTGAGCCACATCTCTCTCTACCAGGAGGACTGTCTTCAGCACCATTCCTTCTCAAAACTGCAAGTACGCTGCACCTGATCCTGCAGTCCATTATCACTGTGCAAGTTCATTGACTATGTTACTCTATATTAAATACACTGCACCTGATCCTGCAGTCCATTATCACTGTGCATGTTCATTGCCTATGTTACTCTAAAAGGACTACTTGACGTTATTTTGTTACCTACGTTACCTATTCATTACTGTCAACTATCCTGTTACACGAACTATCGTAACCTTCAGGTTGCATCTAGAAATTTGAGTTACGTCAACTTGTTTAATCAACCAAGCTGTGGTCTATGACGTAATAGCCACTACTAAGGACTTTGTTTTATGTACGGCCTATGAAGCACGAACCTCTAACTCACCTTAAGCTTGTGAGTGACGCCAGAGGTTCAAGCCTGAATTGCCGTTACACTACTCACCCTGAGCTTTGCTCCCTCTAGCTCCGCAGCTGCGATCCTACTCCTAAAACTCGCTAGACCTGGGCGTGACAGATGCAAAAAAATCACGGCAGTTGCATTGTATGCAGCACTGTTCACAGTGTCGCAACAGTTGACCGGGGGGAGGCGGTAAATCCACAACAGATCAACCGACTAGCTTTATTGCCCTCTTGCTGGGGGGTGGGCTCTTTCAGGTATGCTGTACGGGGCCCAATGATTGGTATTGGCAATCCTGAGTGTATGGCCAGCTTGAGTCAGTGAATTATCTCATCCCATTAAAACCTTTCTAGGAAGAGAGGATAAGATGCATTATGTTACACTAGGTCCAGTCAATCAAACCATGTTAAGAAGTTCAAATGTCTCCAATATAACGCTGCAAATATTTTTCCATTTAAATAAATTTTCAATCTCTATATGCAGCGCAGTCAGCAGTAGTGATTCATAGAACAGATTTCTGTGACATAGAATTTCTATAACATTTTCATTTTCCTCAGAAACATAATCCACTTCCTGAGCAGATATCATAAAGCGTACTAGCAGCTGTTTATTCTAGTGTGTACCACGTACCATAGAATCAAGCATATTAAAGGTCATCTTATATTAAAGTGAAATGCAGCCAAGTTGGGACACATTATTAGATTTCACAAGAACATATGCAATGCATACAAACATTTATATGATAAGAAACTGTACAAGTCCAGTTTTCTAGTGACTGGACCTGAATTTAAATTGTGGATATACTGAGTGGCAAAGCACATTTAAACTGTGTGACTAACATGGGAGCATGCTTGGGATAAAAAATGTGAGCGAGCAATACAATAACATCTTATTTTCACATAAGCTTTCCAATCATTAACCTAACAGAACATTTACTTTGCCAAGTTACAATTCTCTACTCCTTTAATAAATAAACGCCATTGTATTAATACTAAACCAGGCAGTGTAACAGAAGCAAGGCACAATGAAATCACGTTGTAGAGTGCTGTTTTATATACAAAGGGCTCTCCATTATTAAGAAGGTCTAACTCCTAATATCCTATATTCAGAACAATATGACTAACTGATTCTTAAGCACAGAATGAAATGTATTTCTTCTTTAGTTCATATTTTATATATAATTACTTACTTTGTGAAAGAAAGAAAGAAAGAAAGAAAGAAAGAAAGAAAGAAAGAAAGAAAGAAAGAAAGAAAGAAAGAAAGAAAGAAAGAAAGAATGTTTTTGCTTCGTAGCAATCCTTTTGTCTTCTGGAAAGCTTCACTAATTTCTAAACTAAACTACCTTTCTCATGTGTATTCCATTTGTGAGTGCAACAGTCAGGAGCATGTAATGTACAGCACAGCAGCGGTCAGGAGTATGTCAAGGCTTTGCCTCAGGGGCTGACTGGCAACTTTTAGCCCATATCAGAGAGGCCCGGGGGGCAATTGCCACCCTGCCCCCCGGCCCAGTCCGCCCCTGCTTTGCCTTGTGTAGAGTGGTCAGGCCACTCTACACAAAGCCCCCTTTGTTGGTCAGTTTGATGTGCCCCTTGTGTAGGTGGTCTGTGTTAAGCTCTCCCTTTCATTGGTATTAATTGGCTTTCAGTGATGAGTGTCCCTGACCCTTACATTGGTGGTCAGTGGTAACGGCTGTCTTTCACAGTGGTGAGTGCTTCCTTTCATTGGTGGTCAGTAGTTTTTCAATGTTTCCTGTAACAAAGCAAATGTTCACTTTTTAAAGAACTCTGGGTATGTACAAAATTAACCCTTAAAGTGGGGATACCCCTGCCCTGCAAGGATTCATTTTTTTGGTCTAGGGTCTAACCCAGGGGCATAACTAGAAATCACAGGGCTCCATAGCAAAATTTTGTATGGGGCCCTGCAATTTCTAGTTACGCCCCTTGCAGAGCCCACCTGAGATCCCACACAGCGCACCTGAGAGTGACCCTGCAGAGCCCACCATAGAGTCTCTATGGTGGGCTCTGCAGAGTCTCAGGTGGGCTGGGCACACCTCTTACCTGTCAGCCCCGTTCCACTGTCAGCCTCCTCCACCGCCGGGCCCCAGCCTTTGCCGCGGTCGCCAGTGGACCCCACCTCCTCCACCGGGTCTGGCCTTTTTCTCCTCCTCCACCGCTGCCAGGCCCTGGCCTCCTCCACCATAGCTGCTGGCTGTCACTGACTCGGCAGTTCCTCCTTACAGCCGCCAGTGACAGCCAGCAACCTGAGATGCCATAGCGACCCAGCACGGCGTCAGGGGGACCCCTTTGTTTCATGTCCTGGCCAGGCCCACCTGTGCCCAAGGCCCAAAAGCGGCCACCTAGGTCCCTATGGCAATAGTTCCACCACTGCTCTTTTCCCCTCCTCTCCAGCTGTGGAAAGTCCCTCTGCGTCCTCACGTTCCAATGCAAGTCAATGGACGTGATGACATCACAGGTCCTTACACCACCGGTGCCCGGGGAAGAAGAGGCTGTGGGGATCAGTCTAGCAGCTAATTGGGATCGAGGATCGGATGAGTAGATCTTTCTTATTTTAGACCTAGACCAAAACCAGCACTTAACCCTTGCAGTGCAGGAGTAGCCCCACTACAAGGGGTAATTTTAATATGGCCAGAGTTCTTCTTTAGGTTCAATCCCATTTTAAAGCCTATCTGAATGGGAAAGGGTTTCCGTCCGGGTTTAAATGTTGTCTTCTCTCCTGTTCTGTCACCTGAACAGGAAGTGAGTGTAAATCCCCCTCCCCGGGACATGGACAGTTTTATAATCCTGGTCAGCCCCGTTCTAGAATTGTACAGCACGGTGAGGATGATGTAAGTGACACTCCCGGACAACAGGGGGCGCCGCTCCACTCTGCCGCCTCATTCTAATACAAGCGGTGTGTGGTATCAGTGTGAGGCGCACATGTCGCGGTGCCCGGGGCTGGCAGGGAGAGGGGGCCGCTGGTGGTGAGTCATTATTACGCAGCACTTTTACTGTGGAGTCACCGTGCTGCAGCTTTTATAGCGGAAGGAAGAGAGACACCGGTGAGCAGACCGTGCACGGCACAGGAGAGAAGAGGAGCTCAGCCTACTGTACACAGCACCGAGCAGACATGGGCACCGACACTGCCAGGAGCATGCTGGGCACCGCGAACACCCTCATCCTACACACCGGCAACCTGATGAACTGGGGCCGCCTGAAGAAGAAGTGCACTGTCACCCCCAGCGAGGAGGTCAGACCCCCTATCACCTTTCTATGTAGACTGTGTGTGTGTACTTGTGTTAAGGGCAAATAGACCTAAAAGTCAGACTTTCATTTCGGATGGTGGCAGCAATTTCTGTGACTTTCCCGCTTTTGATCTCTTAGTATTGAGAGTTTACATCAAGAGATATGGCTGCAGCCGGTGGTTGACCATACACTATACAACCTTGACACTCCAGCTGTTGTGGAACTACAAGTCCCATGAGGCATTGCAAGACTGAGTTGCTGCAGGCATCACTCCCAGAGGCAGAAGCATGCTGGGATTTGTAGTCTCACAGATGGAGTGCTGAAGTTGCCAACCCCTCCACTATACAATCTAATTGTACAATTGCCTTAAAGATGGCCATATACTATACAGTTTAAGCTTGCCACACATTATGGTCTGTGCAATCTTCTTAGAGTTAGCCATGTACTATACAATCTAGTTAGACAGTGATTGCATGATCTTCTTAAAGGTCACCACATGCTGCAATTTGATTGTATGATCTACCAACATCTATGTAGTGCAAGAGCCTGCCTGGATACACATTGATGGATAGTTTAGGTAGATCTTTATATTACATCGTTTGGTAAACCTACCAGATTGTAATGTGCATGGTGACCAAAACAATATATTATGAGGGCGAGCCTAAACATTTTATTGCATTAGTGTTAAATCAGATGAGACCTTGTATTGCATAGTACAATCCCATTTAGATCTACCATAAACTATCCGATTGTATAGTGTATGGTCACCTTTTAGATCTAACACACGGGTGGGCAACTCCAGCTGTGCTTTGTCTACAAATCCCAACATGCTTTGGCCTCTGGGAGTCATGCCTGCAACTGTCAGTCTTGCACGGTATCATGGAACTTGTAGTTCCACAACAGCTGGAGTTGCCCAGCCTGATCTAACATCAACTTTGTGATGCAAGAGCCTGTCTGATTTGATACTAATTGAATAGATTGCTTTGGTTTGACCTCGTATGACATTGTTTTGGTGACAAAGAAAATTGTACAAGAAGATAGTGTAGTGTATGTGGTTTGTATATCTCCAATTACACAACACATGAGAGGGGCGGTGCCATGTGTCAGAGGACACTCTCATTGGCCGGTCAGTGGGCACACCTTCAATGTATGGGTAAGTGTGTGCTCACAGAAGGGTAATCCCCGGCTTTATAGATGTTCAGCAGTAGAAATAACAGAAGACGGTGGAGATGAAAGGAGTATGCGGTTTTATATGATGTTTGACATCTGCAGATCAACATAGGACAGTCATAGTGGAATTAAATGATATGTAAAGAGCACAGGTTTACTGTAGCCAGATATTACTGGGTCTGTGTGTTCCATCTCCTGGCTATAGCCCTCTTGTCTGTCTTACTATAATCTCAGTCTGATCAGGAGGGTATCTGTGCACGGATCCCCTGCTGTTCTTGCGATGAAGGGGAAAAACTGAAATTACCGGACCCCATGTCGGTCTATGGAGAGGCAGATGTAAACAGACATGTGTCACTTTACATCAGATTACCCCCAATCTGGCACAGTCGGATCCTGTGAAATAGAACCCTGATCCATTTGTCTTTCCAGACCTGGCCAGAGCCGGGGGGGTATACAGATGTAAACGGACACCTTTCCATTTAGAACCTTCAGCCCATAGAGTAACATCAAGCTTCCGATCAGATCTGTATGAAATACTGACATGTGGATCTGATTGAACGGAGGGCTCTAAAACGTTACTGACTGTCATTGCCTGAAGTTGGATTTGGTATTTAATCAGAAATTATTTTCGGCTGGTTTTCTAGCACGCTCCTTAGACAAAAGACGTGCGACCATATAGTAGGAACGGTCACACACCTTCATTCACACTGCACTGCATTTCCCGCGATTCTCGTACGAGAATCGTGCAGTGTATGGGCACCTTAAGGCTCCTTTCACACAGGCTTTCCGATTTTAGGTCCACCTGTCAGGTAAACCTGATCGGAAGCCCGATGTTTATGGGTATTTTTAAGGAGCATTGGCTACCTGACTTCTGGAATATATCCACCCCCTGCCCTAGTGCCATAATATCAAGGTGCATCCATGCACGTAAGGGTGGCTTTGTGGGACCCAGCAAATCATAGGAATGTCCAAAAAAGTCACCTGCATCCCAAGGTCCAATGTGTCTTTTATTCAGACGTTATGCAAACATGGTGGCACAGTGTAAAAGCAATGTTTCGGGACCAAACGTGGTCCCTTCATCAAGCAACACACAGTCACCTGATAAAGGGACCATGTTCGGTCCCGAAACATTGCTTTTACACTGCCACCATGTTTGCATAACGTCTGAATAAAAGAGGGTCGTTCAACACATTTGATCTTGGAGTGCAGGTGACTTTTTTGGACATTCTTGTGATAACACGGTGCCATCCGCAGGTAGTACCAGCACCCAACCCAGCTATCTTATGGGATCCCGGTCAGCAGTGCTGTGAATTACACATTACCAGCAAATCATAGGGGACACTAGAAAACAGGAAAGTTTGGGGCAGCAATTATGGGTCCGGCAGGGACCGTTGTAAAGGCAAACTTGGAAAAAAAAAGAGGCAGCATACAAGATCAGTAAAGACATTTTCACATGAAGTGTAAAAGCAAAAAAAGGATTTGGTAGTTAATCACGTGATAGATGTTGTAGATCTTTTACTAGACATTGGCTTTTCTAAAGGTTAATTTATTCCCTTTAACAAGGAATGTGTGATTGAGGAATGTTTCAGTGATACATATACAAACAACACTGGATGAAACTTTACTTTTACTTTCCTTAGTTACTTCCTGTGTCAGGATGACTTGCTGTTTTTGCTTGTCTTCCGCTTTTTTTCTATGTTGATATGCTGTGTAGTGTATGCACGCTGTCATATTCTTCTATATGTTAAACAATTAAAGAAGAACTCTTGATTGGAACGTTTTCTAACTGGAAAGCTGTTTAGGTCTCTAAATAGATTATATGGAATAAATTGTCTCAGTTTCCAAAGCAGGGTGGGCTAATATTCAAACTGGCTAATAATCAAGATGGCTGATTTCCTAATCCAGAGAGCCAGGATAATTGTCTGTGCCCATCCTACATTAACCTGGCATGAAAATGGAAGGCGGTGGCAGAAGCAATCTCGTTATTTCAGTGAAGACAGGTTCCTTTTACACTCTCCCTATGTTTTTTTTTTTTTTATTGGCACGTGGACATGTTCTTAAATAGAAATACCACAATATTCCCCCTGCTTTCTTCAATGTATGTTATTTAAAATTACAGGGAAAAAAATCTAAACATAATCATTGCCGGATTGATTGGGAAATGATTGTGTATTGGAAGCCACCTATCTGTACAGGTATCCCTTGGCTGACTGATCTCAGCCAAGGGGAAGAGGCTTCAGGAAGATTTAAATTAAAAAGAGATTTTGTGGCGCTGAAAACCCCTACTGTGTCAAACTACCAGTAATTATCTAAACAAAACAACTGACTCATATGTGCTGTGATCAATATAAATTCTATATCAGTGAAAACCTCTCCTCTAGAGCTGTCAATCTAAAATTGTATATGTGGAAAAAAGAACCAAAAGACCAAGTGGTCTCTTGAGATTGTGATAACTAAATGAATAAATAAACAGTGTGAACACTGACCAAAAACATTAAAGGAGAACTATGGGGTCAGTGTTTTCCCCCATAGTTCTCCTTGGGGTAACGGGAGGACACAAACTAGCGTCCTCCCGTTACCCTAAGCTCAGTATACCGCGAGCTACAGCTCGCGGTATACTGAGACGCCGCACCTGGAAAGGATCCAGACTTAGATGACAGGATCCGCCCAGCTGCGTGAGTGACAGCTGGCTCTGCCTATCTAGAGGCAGAGCCAGCTGTACCCGCCCCCTCCCCGTCCGTTCCGCCAGTCAGCGCTGGCAGATCGGAGCGGGGAGAGGGGAATCCAGCCCCTCCCCCTGTCACGGCAGAGAGCCGTGACAGGATCGAGAGGTGAGGGAACACGGTATGTGTTCGCTCACCTCCCGATCTACTGAGCCAACATGTGACAGTCTCATTGTCACAGGTTGGCTTAGAACTATGAGGTGAGTGGAAATCACTCATGTCATAGTTCTCCTTTAATGACTTAAATGAATTGATAAAAATTAAAATATACAGTCACTTTGCAAGTGATAGTGATGTGTTGTCTGATTATACAGACCTCTCGACATACAAAGAAACCGTGAACAACTGGTGATCAATTGAAAAAACAACAATCAGTTCAATCTGAATTCATATAGTGATAAAAAAATTTTTTTATAAACGTCCTCCAATCTCTTAAATAACGTGCTGGTGTCTCCACTATTGGTGCATAACATGATCTTCAGAGTGTTTCACACGAACAAAACCCCCTAGGCAGTGCTCACTCACCGCATACAAATCCTTCTGAACTTTTGCAGTCAGTATGAGGCAGGTATAGGATCAGATATATCTCTCTGGTACTTCCTCCAGGTGTTTAGCCGAATGATGTTACCCAGAAATCATAAAATCAAGAGGGACTCCTCATGGTGAAGCATATTAAAACCATTTAATAAAAAACATATACCGGTATCCAAACTTACATTTAAAAGTCATGTACGTTTGACTTTTAAATGTAAGTTTGGATATATTTTTTTTAATGGTTTTAATATGCTTCACCATGAGGAGTCCCTCTTGATTTTATGATCAACAGTTATCATTTTTTAGGAAGATTTCACCAGGGCTGGACAAATCCCAGGAACCAGGTAGTCCGTGCACCTAGTGCTGAACTTTTAACGTTTTCTCTAGTTGTCGGTGCAGCTGGCATCTAAATTGGACAGACTGGCTCCTGAATTGTATTTTCATTTGTCCACCCTCGGATTTCACCAGTCCCCTGTGTTGCTTCAAGATAAGACCCCATGCACTTCATTATACATGCACTTCCACCAGTGCAAATACAAATTCCCAGCACTTACTATCCTGTTATAACATCAGCATTGTACTAGGAATACATAGTAGAGTTGTTTTTGATAATGAAATCAAAGCTTACATGAAAAAATCCCTTTTATGTGGTGAGTGTTGCCTTCTATCTGCTCATCACTTTCACCAACTTCCTGGATTCCTAGTGTGCTTTGTGTCTCTTTCTCTACTGCTTGATGTGGTGCAATCTGGCTTTCTCAAGACTACATATCCCATCATGCATTGCTTCCAGCAAGCAATGATAACGTTACATTATGGGAAGCTCGGAGGTTGAGTTGCAGTTCAGTCAGTGAGCTTAGAGTTGTGACATAAGCAAATGCATATTCACAGAGCTGAGTGAAATTGTGTCAGTGCATTGAGGAAGTCAATCCTGTGGGCATCTTCAGTATTAAGTTTACAAACTTCTAGATGGATATGGTTATTAGGAGTGGGATAGAACTCACAGAAATGCAATATACACATTTATTTTTATTTTTTTAATATAGATGCCCTTTAACGTGTGTTGCAGTAAAGTAACCTTTCCATTCTGAATGGGCCGCCAATGCACCACAATACAGGTTCTCATTGACTTGCAGCATTTTGGTCAATGTAGTGTGCCCAACACACCGATGTGTCGAAAATAAAACATTGCCTAGATCAAAATGAATGACTTCACCACGCTGTGTATTGTGCATTACTACAACCCACTAGTGAGAATGGCCTAAGTTCAAGTCTAGCAAGTCACCATGTGCTGTTTATACTGCTGGCTGGTGACACAATCATACGAAGCTGCAAGCTGATTGGTTTATTTTTATCAATGTATTTGTGAATGGCAGTTTTTGTTGTTGTACACTAGGAAGCTGCTTGTAACCCTTAGTTTGTAGTAAAGTATAGAAGTAGTTATGTCAAATACAGGAAGCCAAAACTGTGCTGTCATGATGATATGGCATTGCAAGGAGAGTTACATAATGCCGTGACCTATAGTAATCAGACGTGCATACAGAGATTACATTCCTGACATCTAGGGTTTGGTACTATAGCATCCAGGGGAAGACAACTGTGGGTTGATATGCATCAGTTAATATACAGAGTTACTTCTAAAAAAGAACATCCCTGCTTCTTGTCTAATGCTTAAACATGCAGAGTTATAATATTGGGTTGGATGTTCCAACCAGTTTTTGTCATTTAATGCAGAAGAAAGGGAGGAGAGACCACTGTGACTCTGCATTCCATGACCCCCCTGCCGTGCCCCCGCTGCCCACTCTTCTTACAATCAACTGTCCACTGCTGATAAGTCTCCCATTCAGCAGCAATAACCAGCCTGCTATTGGCTATTTTAAATTGCAATAGCCAATGCAGGCTGACTATTGCAAATGCCCACTGCCTGCTGTCAATCAGCAGAGGAAGACCTGAAGGAGAACTTTCTCCTTCAGTTCCAGTGGGAAATAAATAGCCAACAGCAGGCCGGCTGTTGCTCCCAGCCACTGCCTGCTCTGTTTACATTCAGTTGTCTCAGCAGACAGCTGTCATTTCCCCAGGTAAAAGCTATTGAAGTGGAAAGGTGACATTAGGGGTCTAATAGACCCCTAATGTCAACTTAGAGAGAATATGTCATCTCCAATGAGTAACAAAAGAAAAATACCAAAAAAAATGTAATGTCCCCGGGGAAAATACATGGCGCCTACATTTTTTAGCTGGCACCTGGATTTCAAGAAAATGTGTCAAGCCCACAGTTCAGGTACTTGAATGCATTTTTAAGATCTAACTCCTGTGTTTAGTGTCACTTTTAATTTAGCTGATGGGTGTTCATCGCCAGTCCTAGTGCAGCACAGCATTCAATGCAAGGATCTTCAAGTAGAGCTATGGTGAAAATCATGCTTCATGGGATAAAATGGGACACGTGTCAGCATTACATCATCTCATTCTTATGTTGGGTAAAAGAATGTAACGTCCTTGTCATGAATAAAACACTATGTACATATACAGATCGGGTGTCCCAGGTCATGTGTTCTCTGGCTGTCACTCATTCTTGCTGACTCTGTTGATTTTAATCAACAATGAGATAAGGGGATGAAAAGTGCTGGCCACATGTAAATAGATCGTCACACACCATTCATACAAAGCTTTTTAGGAGCCGTTACATTACTCTTATCCTTTTCTTGTGTATATCTTTAAAAAACAAAACTGTAGCCTTTTATACTGTAGAAGCTTGCATGCCTGTGTGCACAGCAGACAGCTCGGTGTTACCTTCTCTTGGAGAACAATCCTGCTATCCAGGGAATGTTTTACAGATTTTGTTTACCTCACTTCCTGTCTGGTAAAACCATGCTGCCTGGGAAAGGAAGAGAGGGAAAATCTACAGCAAGGACACAGATGGAAAAAAGAAGCCAATGGGATTCTAGCCTACCCCAACTTCACTGGAGAAAAAAAAGCAATTCTATTTTTCTTTCTTGCTGTTGCACTACTTTGTAGAGACCTGTGTCCAAGGGCGTGCTTCTGTACCTGTACACATGTGCAGGTTGGGGTCGGTGTGCAGCCGCATCTTGTAGAGTACATGGCTACAGCATCACCTGCCCCTCCCAGGTGCAGGTCTCTGCATTCTGCACGTCCGTGTGAATGAGGCCTTATCCTCATTTCCTGTTTGTTGAAACCATTTTCACCAGGACTGAGGGAAATCTCTCCTAAAGGAGGCTCGTATACCTGTGAAAACCTAACAAGGTTTATAATTCTTCATCAATCTATTTAAGGAGGAATCTTTAAAATGACAGCAAAACAGATACTTCTAGATAATTGCCGAATTTTTATTCTTTGCATATCATATTTTTCTTTTGCTCCCCATTCTTCTCACAGTGGCCATTTTTACTAAGGGAAGATCGGTACTTTTACTTCCTGGAACTCTGGCACATGTGACTAGAACATGTGACCATGAACATCATCTCAGAGGAAAACTACCTTTCCCTGAGATCTTATGAGATTACATATGGGATTTCCCAAAAATGCACAGTGGGGTAACCTTGCTAGGATGCATCTCTAGGCATGGGCGCCTAAGAGGACCAGGAAGTGGAAAAAACTGTAATTGGAAAAAGAAAAAAGCAAAAAATGTTTATTTAACTAATGAAAATTGATTTCAAATCAGCATGCAGAATGCTGATGTGATTTTTAGTCAAAGGGGGGTAGAGGTCCACTTTGACTTAAAAACATAATGTATTGACTGACATCATGGATGTGTTATATGGCTTTTCAATGTCTATAGACTAATTCTTAGGTGAGCTTCCACTTTAAGGTTGTCTGAAATTGGTTGAGACCTTCCAAATGCTTTGTAAAAGCCTGATGTAGACAAGCTGAAGCTTGTATGTACAAGGCCTGAGAGGAGTCTGCTGTGGTCTTTTGCACTCCCACAAACCAAGCTATTGGGATTTTATGAAATGTATAGTTGTCTGTATTCATACAATGGTATGTAATGAACATTATTACACAGCATAAAAGACTACTTTTTATAAATATTTAATAAAGTATTTTTCTTTACAGTTGGGTGATAGCATCAGGATAACACTGAATGAATGGAGCTTGAAAGCCAGCCCAGAACATGTACAGGTACTTTGTTTACATCTATGTTCTTATCTGGTGGATGAATGGTTCAAGTTGTCGCTTTTTCTGTTTAACTGTTTCATTGCCCCATAACCCTGAAGACTGCTGCGGGTTACAGTTTTAATTGTCTCTTTCTCCTGGTGGCTCACCACCCCTGCAGATACTCATTATTATACTCGCAATGCCTGTATAAGTATACCATCATGATAAGAATAGAAAAGTACAGTGGAGTCCGAAAATAATGATTTTCCAAAATAAAATGATTCAGACACTTCCTAAAGCTGGCCATATGTTGGGAGTATTTTTAATACCCTGCGGGCTGAACAAAAAAAAAACACTGGGCCCCGCAGCTGTCGGAATACCCGAAGAGTGACTGCAGCTTATTGGCTCTGCCGAAATTTGAGCTTTAGAAACCACAATGGTGGAAGCTGTACAGGTAATCGCAAAACAATCCTTAGATGAAAACGGCATCCCCATCTACAGTTGGAGTGCGCTTCTTGCTGCCAATGCCTGCAGGTGATTGGGGGCTTGCCTGCATATTTGCAGGGGGTGTTATTCGATCACATTAAATATTTCCAAGAAGCCCTGAAAATAAAGAAAGTGACTTTAATTTATTGTACATAGTCCCACAATCTCACTTATATGCATGCAAATGTAATGACTACATTATATATTCCTGGATGCAAAGTGCGCAAATGTAAAGTTTATTCCACCTGTATAACTTGGATTAAATGCAGGAGGAGTGATTAGATTGTAACGGATATTGTGCCACGCCCCCCACTTCATAGATGTAGGTTTGGTTTGATCATTCACCCCATGTCCACATACATAGTTTTATTGGATATAACCACTCCTTTGTTTTACAGCAAAGTAAACAATATGCTCCTAGATCTATCGTGATTGGGAATGCCAAGTTCCAGTTTACAAAATACAGATTTTGATCTCCCAGTATACCTCTTCTGGTACCAGGTGCTACCATATCTGTGCTACCATATCTGTTGAGTACAGACAGACCCAGAAGGGAGCGAATGTAGCAAATAGCTCAGCCCCTTACCTCTTGCCATGTTTTCCTTCAGGATTATACTTGTGATGGACAAATTAGTTGTCCAACAGAGAGATACTAAAAAGTAACATGGCAGAACTCCCAATCTCAGGAGCCTCTCCAGATTCACAAAAAAAAATAGCAGTCTGGGGTTTGGTGCACCTAGGTACTGTACAGGGCATGCAGACCTGAATGCAGGTGCTTATTGGTGTGTCTCTATTGGCCCATCACAATGTGTGGCTTCACAACCCAACCAGTAGTGTGCTGGGAGGGGGTGGGCCAAAGTCATCAACCGGTTGCTGGCCTTTGTCATCATCATAAGAGCCCCCAACTTTTTGGGAAAACATATTGAATAGATGCAGGACCTGGATGTGCCAACTACAGTATGACAATCTCTGTTGCATATTTTTGTCTGGCCACAGATTAACCTGAAGAATGTTGTTTTCTTAGCTTAATGATTATGGTAAACATGGATATCTGTTAACTTTTAATCAGATTATGAATAGGCATTTAAAATATTCCTACAATGAAGTTGTCATAAGTGAGACTTTGGTATTATGCACTGAGAACCTGTCATTTAATAATCTGCATTTTGCCTTTAGTCTGAGGGACATCTCCTGAGAATTCAGTGCTGCAGCTCAGTGGGTTGAGTTCATGGTACATGCAGTCTGTATAGTATGTGATATTGCTAGCATTAGTTTTGAGTGTAGGTGGACAGGGAGTAGAGTGGGTTGTCTCTGTACGCTTGCCAGCAGCGTAGTTATGATTCCAACTGGCTTCTGTGTGTATTTGCAATTCCATATGGATGGAAGCCCAGCTAAAGCTTTTGTTTACAAAAGTTACTTTCCTATTCCTTCTCTATATGACTGCAGGGAAAATGCTAGGCAATGCATAGATCACTACTGTGTAAAGTACAGCATTATTTTCTAGCCTTCATGATCGGCCACTCTTTAGTGTTCGCTTTTTATTCCTACTAGGTTTTCCAGGGCTGTGTATGGGCTTTAGTGCTAATAATGGTGAGGACCTTACTAAAATACGTGGGATTTAGATTGTAAAAAAGTTTAACCTTCTTGGCGGTAATCCCGAGTGTGGCTCAGGGGTAAATTTTCCGTACCAAAAGCGGTACCCCCGAGCCACACTCAGGCGTCTTCCGGGTTCCTTCCCTGCAAACGCCAGCATTGCAGGCGGGCGGAACCGGGCGAGAAATTCAAAAGTAAAAATAAGAAAAAATACTGAGATCACACCGCCAAGGAGGTTAAATTGGCATTTTATTTTTCTACACATGTCCATCGAGTTCACCCGATAGAGATATGAAGAAAAAAAGAAAAGACTAAACAAAACACTATGCCCACAATTACCCACTGTTGATCCAGAGGAAGGCAAAAAAATCACTATAAAGCATGGTTCAATTTGCTCTAACAGGGGAAAAAAAATCAATCAACAATCTCTGAGGCTTAATGTACCTATAAGAACTCAATATCCAGTAATATTCTGTGCATTTAGGAATACATCCAGATTTTTTTTAAACAGTTAACTGAGCTAGCTCCTGGGGGAGTCTATTCCACATTTTCACAGCTCTAAATTTTGTTTTAAAATTTTGTCTTGGAAATGTGATTTATAAAATGTACCTGATGATGTGACTGGGCCAACCAAAACCGATATATATATATAGATGGTTGCTGATGAGTTGAGTGGCCAACAGGCTTCTTATATCTCAGGAATTCAGCAGTGATTTCTCCCTGGTTGAGTGCGACTTTCCTCCCCATCCCAAAAACTTTAGGCACAGACAGAATGGAGTGAGGAACAGCCCCATAGTATGTATTGTGAAAATTTGGAATACCTGTCCTATAACTACTATTTTTGTCATTGAGTAATAATGGAAGCAATTTGAAGGGGCAGGTAGTTGCCAAATTTGTGTTTTTTATAGTTGGAGAGTTGGTGCTTAGGGCAGAAAAAAAACAAAACTAGTTCTACCTTTTTTTGTAGGAATGTAAATGACCTCCCTGCAGGTTATCTGCAGTATATGGAGTGCTGCTTATACAGAAGTGACATTTCTTAGATTTGCTAGATTCATGTGTATACGTATTCCACATTGGAAGGACAGGCTTTGACCTTTGGATTTTTGTTACACTGTGCTGCATAGCATTTTTATTAATCTGTAACTTTAGCTTCTGCTTTTGGACAAAAAGCATGCCAAAATAATAACTGAGACCCAAATAAATGCTTCAACATGGTTATTTAACTTCTGCTTCCAATCCTGTGTAAATTCAGCATAAGTATGGCCAGAGAAGGTAAGACAAACTACAGCGTGGGATGAAGACTGCAGTGTTTCCCTGTGGAGGGGTGGGGGATAAAAGACAGAAGCAATGGCTTATTGTGTGAAGTAAAATAGCATTTGTAACACCCCCACCCCACCCCCAATAAGACATGATATCATTGCTGCATCGATCAGAAAGTAGCTGGATCATGCAACTTTCTTCTCATGTCTGGATATCTTAGGGAGTCTGTTACTTTGCCCATTTAGTGACGGTTTCTCTTGCGTCCACCTATCCACTGATACTCTCCTATGCTCCGCTCCCCCTCCTCTCCATTCATCTGTTGGATCATTTGGAAATGCCGGCTTGTCTGGGTATGAGGGAGCATGTGATATCCTCTTCTCCAAGCATGCAGTGCTTAGCCATTAGTGGCCAGTCACCAGGCTGAAACACCTATGTTGTGCATAGTGGCAGGCTAGTAATCCTGTGTAAGCTCCGACACATACTGACACAGTATGGAAAAATACTTCCTGCAAGCTGACTGATTCCTTCCTTTGCTGTGCAGCGGGGGAAAGTATCAGAGGACCACTATGGGCATCAGAAGAGGATAGTGGCCGCTTCCTGTGTTTTGTCGACTTGTATTAATATGAGCCATTCTCCTCACAACGATATTTAGATATTGGAGAGAATGGTGTTTTAGAAGTTCTCTGAAATCCTAGCTATTTTTCTATAATAACAGAACTTTGGCATCCTGCCATCCTTCTAGTGTGATTTTTAGAGTCCTATTTGTGATCTTTGAGAAAGAATAACCCTTAGAAGGGTAATAGACACGGACTTAGACATTATAACATTACAGGAGGACCTGGATAAAATAGGGGAGTGGGCAACTATATGGCAGATGAGGTTTAGTGTTGAAAAATGTAAAGTAATGCATTTTGGGGTTAAAAATAGGCAAGAAGAATACATATTATTGGGTACTCCACTAGGGAAGTCAGAAATAGAAAAAGATTTGGGGGTCATAGTAGACCATAGATTGAATAACAGCAGGCAATGCAAGGCTGCGGCAAACAAAGCGAGCAGAGTGCTGTCTTGTATTAAAAAGGGAATGTACTGTACACAAAGCAATAATTTTGCCACTTTATAGTTCATTGGTTCGGCCTCATCTGGAGTATGTGGTTCAGTTTTGGTCACCAATCCACAGAAAAGATGTCCTTGAGCTGGAAAGAGTCAAGAGAAGGGCAACCAAACTAATTAAGGGGCTGGAGGATCATAGCTATGAGACGAGGATACTTAATTTAAACTTGTTCATGCTGGAAGAGAGATTTAGAGGGGACATGATTCTGATGTACAAACTGTTTAGTGGTGATGGCAACATCAGCAATAAACTGTGTACAGTAAACGCCATAACAAAGACTAGAGGGCACCGCCTAAAACTGGTGGAGAAAAGATTTAACCACAAGGGGCGTAGGGGCTTTTGTTTCCCAGTTAGATCGGTTAAAGTCTGGAACTCGCTGCCACAAGCAGCGATATCAGCTGAGAGCATTGAATCATTCAAAAAAATCAGTTGGATACCTTCCTCAGGGACCGTAACATACAGGTACACTTAAAAACAAGATCTCACAGGGGCTCGTGTACACACATACACAGACACACAAAGGTTGAACTTGATGGACCTGTGTCTTTATTCAACCGCAAATACTATGTAACATGTAAAGCAGCTATTTGAGATCAGGGATGGCTGATCATAAAGTTATTTTACTGCTTGTTAAGAATATGTAAATAGTTTTATGTCGATAGTCTGGTCACAGGTGCACTGTAAAGTGAGTCTTGTTGTCATCGTGTGAGTATAGTTATATATCTTGTGTCATTGTACCTTTCTTGCTTACGTCCTAATTATGTGCATCATAAATCTGATCTGCACTGCATAGACCTCTCACTAAATTTTCTACCCCACATATTAGTTTCATTACAAAGAGTTTTTCTGCTCATAAACCAGAATGTCTTGTAGTTGGAAGTATTTGGATAGCCTGTCTGCAGTGATGGATAGCTGGTATGTAACAGGTCTTTTGTTTCAGCCCAGTTATTTTTACCCAGGCATGGCTTGTCAGTGTGTGTGTGTTAGCTGAAAGGAATTTTTTTTCTCATCCCTGCCACTGTAATCACTATTTTGGATCACACATTAATTGACAATGCCAGTGAAAAATGTTCACATTTTTATGGCCTTGTTTGTCAAAGTTACACAAAAGACATGCTACTAAAATAATTTAAGCAAATCTTGCACTTATAGTCCACTGTTTAAACCATCAGAATTCACATTTTATATTTTTGTGTCTCGGGGTCAACTCTTAACACCCAAAGTCTACATGCACATGCTTTTGATATCTTTTAAAGAGTAGTTCTTCTGAAACCAGTCAGTGGGGTATTAATGCTATCCAGGGAACACCGAAACTGTGCTAAAGTAAAACATAAAATGCATAATTCATGTTTAAAATCAACTCCAGCAAAAAAAATTTTTTGTAATTTGGTAGGATATCCTTTTGGTCTTAATATCTGCATCCCCATTGGCTAGACATCCTCTCGCCTCCTGTGCTGACACAGAAAGTGAGGGGGAAGTTTCCCCAACAGGATGGGAAAACAAATCCAAACCAGGCTGAAGTTTAAACCCTTCCCCAATCTACTTTTAAAAAAACTGAACACCTTGTTATGGCTGACACCCATCAAAAACACAGGAAATGAACTTCTACACGCTCAATCAAAAAACTGGTGGACTACTAGGGTAAAGCTGGCCATACACCTATAGGTTTTCTTCACATGTTCTATGGTCATATGGAAAAAGTGCAACAGATTCCTCCATCTACGCTAAACTGTGTGGAAGGAAGAATCTCCCACTGGCCAAGCTTCAGTATCTTGCTACCTGAACAATGCCAATCCCAGGTTCAGGTATTTTGACAGCCAGCGGAGCCGCCTTGCTAGATACTGAAGCTTGGCCCAGTGGGAGATTCCTCCATCCACACAGTGTAGCGTAGATGGAGGAATCTGTTGCACTTTTACCATCTGACCATAGAAAATCTGCAGATAATCTATAGGTCTATGGCCAGCTTTAGTCAATTTTCTGTGTATTCTACTCTACTCTAACCAAATTTTAAAAAGCTTCTCAAAAGTGAGGTGTATGGATCTGAAGCCTGTGTATGGATCTGAAGCCTGTGTATGGATCTGAAGCCTGTGCATGGATCTGAAGCCTGTGTATGGATCTGAAGCCTGTACAATTTCCTCTCTTTTGCTTTATTACAAATCCAGTTCTGGCTTCTAGAACCAGGCATATTTTGACTGATGACTTGGTTCACCCACTGAAAGGGAAGAAACATACCCCTGAAGTGGATGTTATGGGCATTTATGTATAAATCACACATGGTTAAAGATAGATGCATAAGAAACAATTAAATACACATTTGAAACATGCAAACTGCTTACCTGTCAAATAATTTGTATTTATTTGCATCTAGTCTTAAAATCCACAAAACCCTGCCAGATGGCATAGTTAGGTCCTTGATTTTATTATATCAACAGCAGCACAGTTTGGTCAGGAACATACACCCAGCCTGCTGATTGGCCAATTAAGGAGCACAGTCATGCCCTGTCTGCATGTGCAGCAGAGTCTGATTGGCTACTAGTGACAGCCCTACCCCTTCTTCTAGACTCCTCAGAGTCCTATTGTATAACAGGAATTCAACTAATTGTGTATTATGTTATTTGGTATTCCAACAAGTTAAAAAAAACATAGTTGATGTATATTGTTTTTAGTTTCCTGGTCATAAATTGGTATTTTCACACATTTTTAGGACTCTTCACAGACCGTGGAGTGTGCTGTTACTCAGGCTATGGAGACCATAAACCCTGAAGAAAGAGAGGAGATGAAAGTATCCGGTAAGTACTCACAAGAGGTGTATCAAATAAGTGATTTATTTTACCTTACTGATTGTATGAGTTGGATGGTCTTGGCTTTTATATCTGGCTGCATTGACCTAGAGCTGTTACTTTTACAAGGAACAAAGTACGGTAAACTCCCCATTATCAGGCATTCAAGCAACAAAACAAAAATAAATCGAGGACATCATATGTCCTCAATGTTTTTTTGCAAGTTGCTTGATAGACATGTGCACACTAAGTAATTTTGTTAGCAACTACATTTATTTAGTTGCTAATGAGATTCTCTGATTACATCTGGTTCCGCAGATGGGCAGAGGGCATGTGCTATTGGCTATGGCAAATTGAAATAGATGATAGCAGAAGATGAAGATAGCCAATAGATGAATGGGGGGCGGGGTTGTTGCTTGAGAGTTAACAGTAACTCTCAAGCAACCAGAAACTCTCTCTCCTCCCTCTCCCTCTCCCTCTCCCTCCCCCGACACCGGTCTGCAGTGTTGTGAACAGGTTGTAGTAGGGATGTCCCGATGCCTAGCGGGGTCATCTGGCAGTCTCCGGCCACCTAAATTAGGACCCGGAGACTGCCAGATGACCCCGCTCGGAGCGCCGCCCACCGGAGCAGCAGTGACGCGACGCTCGGCGAGGTAAGTAAGAAGGAAAAAAAAAACACATAGCGCAAGCTTCGACGCTAGGCTTCGGGGCATTTTGACAAGTACTTGTCAAAATGCCCTGTATCGGGCCCGATTCCGATGCTAGCATCGGTATCGGGACATCCCTAGGTTGTAGGCATTTTTTGTAAGTGAAGTCTCCATTTTGCATGCGGTCACTATGTCATAGCGGATATAATGTTTGCATAATGGAGAAGCACTCTTATTAGTTCCTGAATATCATTGGAGACTGGATTGGGAGTGATTTGCCATGCAAAATGTCATCTCATGTCTATGAAAGGGAAGATATTTATTTAATGAATACCCAGCATGGAACTTGGTGCTGGGAAATGGTCAAAACTTGGATTGCAGTGAGAAGGGATTAAAGGAGTTTTGCTAGATGATTCTTACATCTGCCCCATAAAATGTTTTAACAGAAAATGAGATGCTTGAGGTGCAGTGTTAATCAGATTACATCATGTACTCCACCGCCTATATGGGGTCAGTGTTCATTGTCCGCAGTGGGCCTTATCTATAGTAAGAGAAGAAAATGTAAAAAAGTCAAATTGACCACAAAACATGTCATTGGTTGTTGAGAAGCCTATTATCTTTAGATGTTTTTGCACCTCCAGACCTTGCTCTTTATGTAACAGATATGAACTGAGAGCATCGGTATGAAGTGTTACCATTAGCAGAATCTTGACCTTCTTAACCCTGTTAGTTTTAGATTGTTGTGCAATTCTGCATATGCTGAAAGTCCATTTGATAAGGAAACGTGAGCCTTAGATGCTTTCTGATACACAAGCAAAGTACTCTTCATGAATCTCATGTTTGTCTGACCTCCTGTCCTTCTGTTTTTTTTATACTCTACAGCAAAACTGTTTATTTTGGATTCTGGTCTTTCATCAATTAGGCATGCAGTAGATATGGGTAAGTGAATCATTTTGAGCAGTTATATAGTTCTCTTAACGTTTCTTTTTATATTTGATCATGTATTTGTGCCCTTTGGTCATAATCATTTTATTTTATACATGAGATTATAAAGGGTTCTAAATTTGTTGTGGTACCTATGGCAGGCTAGATGATTTCAGTAAGCTTCCTAACCCATTGAAGCCAATGATCTTATTGTGGACAGCATTCTCTTGTGCTGCCGTGTACATAGAGCTGCAAGACTTACCTTATTTGAACTTCGTCCCTCTTTACGCTAAAGCCTGTTGTGGTCAGAGGGATGGAAATGGTGATGTAAACCACGTTGAAAATAAACAGCTATTTGGCAGATCATGTGGCTGGCTTCAACACTAAAGACTCAGAGCAGCAAAGATTAGCAAACACATGTTGGTAATGCTGTATACAAGTTCAGATTCCATGAGTGTCTGCCAAAAAGGCTTGGAGGCCATTGAATCCCTAGCCTTTGTGATTAAACCGTTTGCTGAGTTAGATGTACTGGGAACAGAAGTTCAGATTGTTTCCCGTGCAATGTAATAGCCTAAAGGGAATCAATAAAGTTTACTAATGTATATACTATGTAGGTCAAGGTCACCATAGGCTGTATTTAAAGACTGCATTCATGTTTACAAATGGTTACCAAAAGTAGCTTGCTTGTAAAGGGTCTTTTATTCTTGTAAGATGTCTAGTCTTTTTTTAAAGCTAATAGATAATTTCAACAGTATTTTCTCTTTACACTCATTGTGATACGTTCAGAATACTGATGATTTTAACAGTTTCAAAGACTTCTATCTATAAAACTTTGTATGATATTTGTAGATTTTAATCCAGTTTATGCTCTAATCAGCTGTGCACATATGGTCAGAATTGTACAGGGAATGCCAATTAAATGGGTAACATTGATTGCACTCGGTCTAAGAATACAAAATATGTTTACAGGGAAAACTGAGGGAAGAATTTATAATGGGTATAGGACAGAAAGAAAAGGATCACATTTCTACAATCCTTGTTTAACTTTAGTCTAGATCAGCGTCTCTTAACCTTTTTTCCAGTCACTGCACCCTTTAAAAGTATGCAAAATTTTGAGGCACCCCAGTCTAAAATGTAAAAGCCGTAAATGTTAAAAAAATGTGGCCCGTGCAAAATACATATATTTTTCCAAGATAGGTGTCTGGTATGGATTTTAAGAGGGGACCCCATGCAAAACGCACACAAAATAGGGTCCCCCTTTCACATCAAAGTCCCCCTTCTTTCACATCAGGGTCACCCTCATTCTGTTTGAGAAGGGCTACTATAGAGTATGTAATGAGAAAAATAACGGATAACCCTAAGGCATCATAATACAGCAGTACAGTACCTAGCATATGCCAAATATATTGCAACGGTGAGAAATCAGGGCTTTCTAACTGAAGAGAAAAACTAAAGGAAAGACCAAGGAAATGTGGATAGTGAATTATGGAAGATGTATGAGCTCATGGGGTCTTTAATAGATAAAGACACAAGATTTCTTGGCATAGAAAAGCGAGAGCAGTTGGAGAGAAATGTTGTTATAAGATTCAGGATTATGTCACAGATATCAAAAATTCAGGCTTACTGAGCCATTCTTTCAGAGACCTCCGTACAAATAAAGATGTTTTTTCAAATGGAAATCAGAAGGAAGAAGAAAAAGGAGCAGACCGAAAAGAATATAGATTACTGATAGAGTAGAGGACACGAAATTGGAGGGAGTCAAAAAATGGAAATTGAATGCAGCGGGTCGAGTGGTATGGGCTAAAGTCAGGGCTCTAGCCCATACCACATGTTATACCTGAATACCTGGTACAGGTATAACATTCTTCAGCCGAAACATATGAGCAGCTATTTATTATTTATTACATGAATTTATATAGCACCGACAATTTACGCTGCGCTTTACATAGTTGCACATTCACCTCAGTCCCTGCCCTCAAGGAACTTACAATTTAAGGTCGCCTTCTCACATACAGAGCCAATTAACCTACCAGCACGTCTTTGGAGTGTGGGAGGAAACCGGAGTACCCGAGGGAAACCCACGCAAGCACAGGGAGAACATGCAAACTCCTTGCAGATAGTGACCTGGCCAGGATTCGAACCTGGGGACCCCCAGTGCTGCAAGGCAGAAGTGCTAACCACTAAAGACAAGCTATGCTTGTCTAACTGGCTTTCCGAAGTCACTTTTTCTATAATCCCTCTTTGTTTAGCTCTGAGGGCATGACCTAGGCTTGTCCTTATCTTAATGAGTACAGGCGTTATGAACGTTGTGCATTTAAAGCTGATCTGCATTGTGGGAACAAGTAGAACTCGGAAATGTGCATAAAGCTCTTGGGTCTCATTTCAAGCCAGGTAGACTTTTAATCTTGAGAATTCTGTTATCCCACTTTACATGGTTATATTGTCATCTTCTTGTTTGGCACACATTATATTAAAGAAGTTTTCAATATAAAGTTAGTTACAATAACTTTTGTAGTAATTCTAAAATAAAGTTCAGATAAGCCTGGTATTTATGCTGTATATGTGGAAAATCTAATGGAAACTGCCCAGTTTCTCATCTGCTTAGGAAAATGTTGACCATTCTCTACTACTCCATATCTTCTCCTTTATTTGAACTTTGATATCTCTTATATGAATGTAAATAAGAGCTGTTGTATTGCTCCTGGTACCTACTGTCTTATGCCTCAACGTTCATACCATCTAGCTTTTTTTATACTTCTATACAATATAATCTGTAAATTTTATTTAATTTTCTCTCTCACACATTAAACATAAATTATGGCTGCTAACGCTCCAATAATTCCAGCTCATTTCCTCGTACAAATGTTTGATTCTGCTCTCATGTAAACCTTTACATTTACTCCCTAACCGACTCCTGTTGTTCCACTTTCAAGTGTATTCCACATCTGTCTTTTCCTTAAACTCAATACAACTAAAATGTCAGTGCATGCCCTCATCGTACCCCAGCTTGATTGTTGTAACCCATTCAGCTCATCTCTATTTCTTCTCACTCTACCAATGCTGCTTTTTGTTTGTCTATCCCTCCACTGGTTGCCATTTACTGAGATATTTCATACCTCTAACTTGTGAATCTCTAAGTAGTCTGGCCCCTCCATACATTTCCTTGCCAATTTCCAGGTGCCATCCTAAACACAACCTCATTCGTGCACATGACCATCTCTACTCTAATGTAGTATCGTTTCACACTCAGGCTCAGGGCTCATTGTGAGTGATTCTCTGGGATCCCCGCACATGTAACCTGCAAATCTTCAGATGCACCCTTCAAAAAATCAAGCATATTGTCTGAAGTAAAGTCTTATGTTTGGTAATTAATCCATCACTGCTTCCTTGTCTGAAAAGACCCTGCTGTCACCCACATAAGCAGATCCTTTACTTCCCTTACTTGTTATTACTATGCTTTGCTAAACAACTGTATGTACTAGTGTCTGGCACTTTTTATGTATTGTATTACATGCACTACCCTCTCTTCCTTGTTACAACATTTACTTTGTGCAGCGTCATTGGATGTAATGTTGAGGCTATAGAAATCATAACCGACATGATCCCAAATGTCACGAAGCACCATCATTGTGCCATAGCAGGCACCCTTTATGTACCCATTGAGACAAAACCTGGTTTAATTTGTTTAAATCTTCTCTTCGGATATCTGAAATGCTTGAGAAAGACCATTGAAAAAGGTTTTTTCTTTTCCTGTACAGCCCTTCAGTTACTATGTGCCCCTGCAATAGCAAGTGTGTAAAGGTTCTGTGTTATTTCACTGCCTGATAATCTGCTTATGTGCCTCTAATTGTTCTTCTAGCATGTTCCACCCTGGCTGTTGCCCAGTTGGATTCGGTGATCATTGCACCACCCCCTCTGGAAGATGGAGTCATTCTTACCTTGGAACATTTACAGCCTTACTGGAGAGAGCTGGAAAGTCTCGTCCAAGACAATAAAGTTGTTGCTATAGGAACATCGGATTTAGATAAACCACTCTTGGAACAGCTTTACCTCTGGGCACAGGTGAGGCTCGGCACCCACTGGTAGTCATAAGAGTGAAAAGAACATGTCACATTCTTTATAATTTATGGAGATCTTGATAGCATTAAAGAGGCAGCTACCTGTTCCATTGCATACAGTTTTCAGATGTTCCACTATAGGACCAAATAAGTATTCTACATACTGTATACACTTTATTTGTAAATGTTCAAAATCCTTGTATATAAAATAAAGTTATCATTTTAGGTTTACTGACCATTTAACCAGTAACTGCCTTAGAATCGGTTCATAAAAGCATATATGTATATCCATTTTTTTTGCATAAAAAGTTCTGCTATTCTGACAGTAAAAAAGTTTGGGAGGAGCATGGCGTTGGTAACAGTCGTGTATGGTTTGTACAAGTGATTAGTTAGGATGGCTTCTTTATGTATTTTTCATTTTTTTGAAGATAGGCTGAATGCCTGTCAAATGTGGTAGTCATGGCACTGTGCTGCTCAGTATTACTAGTTGGTTGTATGAATGGTTTTTAATTTTTAACAATGTATTTCTGCCTTTAAACAAGTTTTTTTTTTTTTTCAGATAAAGCCAAGTAGTAACCAAGTGAATCTTGCATCGTGCTGTATAATGCCTCCTGATCTAACTGCATTTGCCAAGGAGTTTGACATTCAGTTACTAACGCACAGCGATTCTAAAGGTAACTGAGAAATGTTTGTTTTTGCTTTATAGGTCTCCAATAAGCAATGGTCATATAATGTCCTTGCTTGGCTTCTATTGTGCTGGAAGAGGTAGAGATGCGTCCTGAGCTATACATCGCTCTGGTCACATAATCCGCCCCCTTCATTCACAAAATGTCTTGTATTTTGTTTAAAGAATACAAGATATTCTGTGATTGGAGGAGGGGGGCAAAAATGTAAAACATCTCCTCCAATCACAGCTACCCTCTGGGAGCTACGTGTTTTGTGCGGGGAGACCATGCTGCAAGGTAAGATTTTTCTACTTTGCAGCCACCCTCTGCACATAATGTCCAACTTTTTAATGAAGATTTACACACCCAGCGTGGTGTGTAAATGATCATTCTGCCCAGAGTGTGACTTTACATTAAAGGTTTGCAGTTACTGTAACCTGGAGCTTACCTCTCACCTGCCAAGATTTTTCAGAAGAGATTTTACATAACGAGATGTTTCATTGAGAGCAGAGGTCTATAAGACATCTGCATGTTCTCCATTATGTAACAACGGATGGTTGTTATTGCACGTTAATAAGGCTGAGTGTTTGGTTTACCTTAATATTTCTCTTATATAACATTTGTTTTTTTCCTGCTTCTTCTTTTTTCACAATGCAGAAATCCTCCCCGAAGAAAGTTTTCAAGAAGTTCTGAGAGACACTGTTGAGGGAAGTGATGCGGATGCTTGGTCGCCTGTATGGGTCCTCAGATACTCAGTCATTGTTAAAACCCGTGGGATTATCAAATCAAAAGGCTACACGGTGCAAGCGAAGAGGAAAGCTCCCTACTAACAATTTTTCTGGACAAACCACTGAAATGTTTTACGAGAGGCACACAAACATCTTTACACATAGAAAGCGATGTTACTAAGACCAAATGACTAGGACACCAATGTCAATGCAATATCTGCGGTCACAGTGATGTTTACAAGCTCCAATCTGCAGAGGGATAAACAAAAATATTACAAAAATATTATCTCTGACAAAGGGTCCATTGTGTTTATATTGATATCACCAGGTGCCTCTGTTTTAAATGATTGTTTGGAGGGAACATCCCTATTGTTCAGGGCATTACTTGTTTTTTTTTGTTTTTTTTTACTTATCTCCAGTACTTGGCTGCTGAGCTGTTCCATGATTTTGTATAATGTGACAAGTCACAACCATGTTTTTAATAGCTTCAAAACATCCCGCATGTTAAGCGTGACCTCGCTTACACTCAAATTCAACTGGGAGTGAGAGAGAAACTTGTAATGAGGCATAGATGAAGACAACCATTGCTGACCTCCTTCTGAAAGTAGTAGTTGCCTGGCTGAGTATTTCTGAAGGTGTCAGTGCCAATATATCAGCAAGCCAGCCAACTAGGATTTACAGATAGAAGGGCCAGCCGTAGTAGCCATATTTCCAGGTTTTTATTAAAGTGACTGTCGTCCCTCCCTCCCCCCCGAGCAACTGATACCTTGCCAGTGCGCCCCTGCTGCTCCTTCCTGCATCCCCACAAGCAACAATATCTGGTATTTCTGGGTATGTCGGGGGGGGGGCATGGGATCTCCACCCATTTGACCGTGATGTGACCATCTGTCACATGACGGGGGAGTGATGTCACTACACCCCTTAACCTAAGGCACCAGATGACACTGGGAATTTATGTGCCAGCTGTGAGGGAGCACTGTTGAGTTGAGTGAAATGGGGCCCTGAATGAGCAAGGTGGGGGTTTCTTTAAGTATGAAAATGGCACCCAAAAACAGTTATAAAACTGGCTTTAGCCCTATAATCTATCAGCGAAGCCCGGTAAAAGTTTTATAATACTCAGTAATAGTTGTGAGGGCAGCATTAGAGGATTCCAAAGTCTATTTTAGATAGATATATATATATATATAATATTTTTTTTCTCCATCTAACCTGCAGAGAATAATTCTGCTTTGGGTGCCGTTATTCTACGGATCTAACTCTAAGGATCTAATTAGAAGCTTTTCTAGCATGCTAGAGACCTTTTTAAGACAACTCATGGTTGGTTTAAGAGTGTAAGAAATATGGTAAGCTCTTCTTGTAACAATATGGTCCTCCCCATCTCTTATCCGGTTTTGGAGCTTTAAAGCTGGCCATATACAAATCTTTTTTTTATGGTTCAGCCCTGTGGTTGATTCCCCCTATCCATGCTAAATGACATGGATGGAGGAATCCCCCTGGGCTTTTGCATTTTAACAGCTGCACTCCTGCCGCTGTCAGAATATCCACACAGTGACTGCAGTCACTGTACAGCTGAGGATTTTCAGGCCGCCTCCTTTGAAAAACGTTGATTGATATATTGGGTTTTGTCGAAGGAAGGGTGCTGACGGGGCACACGACTCAGATTTTGTCAGATTCACCAGGACTCTGCCCAAACTCAAACAGTGTATGGCCAGTTTTTGTTCCACGTTGATTTAAAGTGAACAGATCTATTAACATTTGTATTACCGCAGGAAGCCTTAAGGTACAATGTAAACATTACGTTTTGAAGGTTAGTCTGGTATTCTTGTCCTTATCTCCGAAGCTGTATAATCTTATTATCATGACCTTAGTACTTATCTAGAAAACAAGTCTTTGATTATTTAAAGACCTGACTGACAATTTAGCTTTTATTTCTCCTGGCTTGTATGAGTTGTTTATCACTCCACCTCTACCAGATACTGGCTGGAAAACAACCCTACTCAGTTACCTCCAGTGAACTCCCTATCTTTTAATTGAGTGTCCGAGAGGTAGTGACTGAGCAAACTTTCCCAACCCGATACATACATTTTTTCTTATGCATTCATACCTTGTGCTCATCTGTGTTGAGTCAAGTTATTGAGCTACGATAATCCATACCGAAATGATCTACTCAGATGTATCACAGTGCAAAATACTTCAATATTAACTCTAAAGAAAAGTTACTGGAAACAAAATATGCTTTAAACCTCTTTTTATTAAAAGCTCTCTTGGCAGAAACTGAAGCAAAGAAAATAAGCTGCTATAACCTTTTAGACAAAGCCGACGTAATACACGTTTGTGGCTGTTGCATGCTGAGAGTGGAATTAGCAATAGAGACAGTTGAGGATTATTTTACATATATTATATCCTGGAGAGATTTGCTTGACCCCCCCCTCTCCTGTTGATCTAGCCACCTAAGAAAGGAACATTGAGTGGGTACGACTATATCCTAGTCTGACGGCTTGCACAGGCTGCTGCAGATGTTCCTGTTTTCAGTCTGAACTTGTTAATATAATTAATGTTAATTGTTTTATATGGCAGATTATGTACATGAGAACTGATTGTGCTGCCAGAATCCTGCAGCACCATAGTAGTTAAAGGTATTTTATTATTATTACATCAAAGATAACCTGTTTGTGTATATGTGGAAAATATGTATTGTCAAGCTAGTGCTTATTTGTATCAATAGCCTTCGGTAATTTTGCTGCTTGTTCAATATAAAGGTGTTTTTGTTGTTTATTACAAAGGGTGTTAATGTATTTAAAAATGACAAATGTAAAGGTGTTGCATACACTCAGTTGATCTGACCTGTACTGAACAAAATCAGCTGGAATCTGGTTGCAAAAGGCAACACCTCATCTGTTTCTGCTTGTAGTTTATAGACATCCTCAGTGTTGGGCAGATGTGTTGTGGGATGAAGGAAAATTCATTCTACCAAATGGTCCAGTGATCACATGAACGGAAACCTGTACTGAGGACAAATTTAGGGTATTATTGCTGACTACTTCTTCTGACAAGACTAGTTGCCTGGGTGACATGATCTACTGAATTCAGTACCTTCTACGTCACTGACATGCAACAAGTATATAGATCGTGTTCGGACATCTCTTGCTGCTTACTTGTTACGGGTAAAATAAAATGACAGTAGGCAGCTAGCATTTTCAGGAAGAAGTCAACAGCAGGTCCTGTATTCCCGCGGTCAGTAATGTGCACTCTTGTCAAAGTTGTGTGCTTGTCTGCAGCCCTCTCTCTGGCGAGGCCATGGGAGTAGCATGCAAATGCGGCCAATGTCTGCGGGGTTGAACTGCAAAATGTCAATGTTTTTGGCTACAGCATGAGTAACGTCATTGCTCTGGCATTAGAATCCAGCGGGTAATTGGACATATTTGCATACCGAGTACACAGCGCCTAGTGCACAAAGCATGACAGCTACAGTGTCTCCCAACCCATTAAAGGACCTGTAGTCTAATGAGAGCTGGAGACATTAGCATTAACTTATTGATTCTATAATTACTCCAAACTTTTTAAAGTGGCAGTTTTATCCATGGATAATTTTGTTCCTTTTTTCCAGATGAGGAGCTCACCATGACTAGTACGTTCACTGTTTTTGTGTAGCTCTTACCATTTTAGATCATTAGGTATCTGTCTTTTGGCTTTGGGAATCAAAATTAAAATCTGGGTACCACTGCTTGTTTTTAAAATGTTTTCTGCTTTACAATGTAAATTGAGCTTTGATGCAACCATTGCCTGTTGCACTTCTTCACCATACATTAAACTACCCAACAGGCTCCTTGATTACAGGACAGTCCTTAAAGGCCGTGGAATCCTCGGCCACTATTAAGGTGCCCATATACTGTGCAAATTTTCAGCCAGTTTTTGGGGAACCGGCTGAAATTTGCAGTGTGCGCTGCTGTTGGCACCCTTTCGGTTGACATCCCTCAATCGGCTGATCGAAGGAGATGGCTGGAAACTTTTTGTACGATAGCAGCTGGCAGCCAATGAGCTGTGGGCTCTGGTTGGGTATTATGACAGCGGACGCTGTAAAAATGCAATGCATACAGCGGGATTCCTTGATTGACACGCTGGTAGGGTTGATGGAAGAATCTGCTCTATTTTTCTCATTGCACCTGTGGACTGAACGAGAAAAATAGATCAGTGTATGGCCAGTCCTACTCTGTAGCCCATACATTCAAGCTTATAGTGCTTCAAGCTATACTTTGTTCTTGTTCCTTTATACTACCATTACCCCCTCTTGCAGGGGTAGGCAAGCTCCGGCCCTCCAGCTGAGGTTAAGAGAACTATGGCCCAACCTTTTTAGGCCATAGTTCTCTTTAAAGTCACAGAAGGACATTCACTATGTCCTCCTGTGACCCAAAACTCATCATATAGCGTGCTATTGCCTGCTATATGCTGACAGCATATAGCGGGCTATTGCCTGCTATATGCTGACAGCATATAGCGGGCTGATGCCTGCTATATGCTGACAGCAGAGATCTGCGCTGTGGCCGGGAAAGATCACGACAATATTGTTGGGATCCACTCGATCGACAGCTGGCTCTGCGCCTCTAGAGGCAGAGCTAGCTGTGCCCGCCCCCTTCCCTGTCTGTCCTTACAATCAGCGCTGGAGGAACAGAAAGGGGATGGGGGAATCCCTGTGGGGAGCGGAGACTGAGAGTCACTGTTGTCTACAGGAAGATCAGGAACTGAGCGATCAGCGGTGTGTGATCGCTCAGCTCTTGATCTATTGAGCTGACATGTGACAACTTCAGTGTCACATGTCGGCTCTAATTATGGGGATGAGTGTATTTCACTCTCCTCATAATTCTCCTTTTTGAACTACATATCCCATCATGCATCTGCCGCTGGGAGTCGTGGTTGTCAGTTTAGCAATTCCTAATGGGATTTGTAGTTGCACCACAGCTGGAGGGTCGAAGTTTGCCTTCATATGGGAATGTACTGCTCAAACGAAATAACCAGAGATCATCCATTGTGATGGAACCTGAAATCACCGTCTGGCTGTGGACAGGTCAGGCAATGAGAATGCACAAAGGGTATGTTTTATTGTTGTGTATACCTAATGATGAGGAGGAGGGGATAGGGGGCATTTACTAGTGTTGATTCCTGAATCTAAATGGACCTTACTTGGCATGTCTGGGGAAACATTTTGAAATGAGGCCTGATGTCTTGTATGTGAGCACACTTCTGTTAAATGTAGATGAATGGATGTTAATGATTGCTTCTTGTACTGGACGTGTATAATATTGAACGTTTAGTTGGTTGCATTGCATTTGGTCATCAGAAACTGTACCATTGAGCAGGGGGCACATTACATTTAGTGCTGGTGGTGTGGTTA